CCCTGCTCAGTCGGCGCCCGGCCCCGAGCCCAGCTGGGACTGGGTCTCCCGTCCCCTGCCTGGTCTGTTGCCATGTGTGGCATGAACGGGCAGGGTTGCTGGCCCGGGCTCACGCTGCTCCGGAGAGGTGGGAGCCCTGCTCTGCCTGGCACGTTCCCCCGCTCAGCCCACCCCTCTCCTGCAGGTGCGGCCCTTCACGCTGGGCCAGTTGAAGGAGCTGCTGGGCCGGACAGGGACACTGGTGGAAGAAGCCTTCTGGATCGACAAGATCAAATCGCACTGCTACGTCACAGTGAGTGTTCCCGCCTGTCCCCCCGCCCGCCGGGGGTCTGGCCCCACCACCCCTGCTCCAGCTCTCTCTCTCTCCCCCACAGTACTCCACGGTGGAGGAGGCGGTGCTGACCCGCAACGCCCTGCACGGGGTGAAATGGCCCCAGTCCAACCCCAAGTTCCTATCCGCCGACTTCGCCGAGCAGGACGAGGTACCAGCCGCCGGCAGGGCTCGGTGTTGGGGGGCACTACGCCTGCTCTGATCCCTTCCCCCCAGCTGGATTACTCTGTGGGGCTCTGTCAGGGGGAGGAGTTTGGGGGCTCAAGGCTAGTTTGTGGGAGGTCGTTGGGGGGGCTGGTGGGAGTTTGGGGGGATCAGGGAGAGTCAGGGCACTGAGGATATTGGGGCAGGGTTGGGGGGCTGGGGGGATTTTGGAGGGGAGCAGAGCCTGAGTTGGGGGGGGGAAGCAGGGGCTGGGGCGGGCAGTTTGGGGGAGGAGCAGGGGCAACCTCTGACCCCCTCTCTCCCCTCAGCTGGACTTCCACCGGGGGCTGCTGCCGGAGCGGGCGGTGGAGGCAGCGGCGGCCCCGGGGGCCGGGCCAGCCGGTGGGCGCGGGGGCCGGCGCTCAGCCCCCCGGGAGCGCTCGCGGGAGCCGGAGCGGGCGGCGCGGGAGCAGTGGGCGGAACGGGAGCGGGAGATGGAGCGGCGGGAGCGCACGCGGGCCGAGCGCGAGTGGGACCGTGACAAGGTGCGCGAGGGGCCCCGCTCCCGTTCCCGCGAGCGCCGCCGCAAGGAGCCACCCAAGGCCAAGGAGAAGAAGGGCGAGAAGAAAGGTACTGGGGCGGGGCCTGGGCTGGGCTGCGGGGGTGGGGGCTGGGGGCCTGTTGGGCTGGCTGGGGTGGGGCCTGGGCTGGGGATGTGGAGGGCTGGCTGGGGCGGGGCCTGGGCTGGGCTGGGCTGCGGGGGTGGGGGTGGGGGCTGGGGATGTGGAGGGCTGGCTGGGGTGGGGCCTGGACTGGGCTGTGGGGGTGGGGGCTGGGGATGTGGAGGGCTGGTTGGGGGCATGACCCTGACAAACCCCACACTGAACTCCTGACACCCTCCTC